CAACTTCAATACCTTAAATTTATATTTGAGGAATCACAAATTCACAACCTATGCAATTAATGTCTGGTGATGTTAACTATTACTATTATAGTTAATGATTAAGACAAAACAAAATTATTTTTAATTCTATGCCTTTTTTGATAAAGTTCAAACATCTAATAATATGAATATTGTATTAAATTATTTTGCTTACATAAAAATCAGCTATTTTATAATCAATTGGTTTTGTCTTAAGGCGATTTTCATACGTAACTATTTTTTTTTCTTATTGATTTAATACCCTGGGAAACATGTGCCATTGGGTCTACAAATAATTTAAATCAATAACATATTTATGTGTACTTATTCTAAATATTAATTTTTAATTTTGGTTTGAAGATTGGCTGCTGTGATGTATTAAATGATGTTGGCTATGGATTGAGGGTGTTGTGGAGTATTTCTTTTAGTGATTCGGGCAGGTTGTGATTAATACCGATGTTGTAGTATACTCCGCATTCAACGTACCTATTGAATTAAATGTCTATTAAGTTAACTTTATTTTTTTGAAAAACATGTGTTCCGTGTATACATGCATATATTTAAAAATATATTAAGAATGCAGTTTTAATAAACAGATTTTCGACATTGAGTACTACCTACCGTTTTTGGGGAGCTTAAGTGCGTATATATCCTGTATCGCCATATATTAACAATGAAGATGACGTTTATTTCACAGGTTATTTTCAAGTATGGAAAATTGCCAAATTTCATCATTACGGCTACAATTACAAATTCTCAAAAAAATATTTGTATACTAATTGTTTTACGACTGCAATTATATTTATCAATTCATCATAATATTGCGTATGCCATATTCATCTTGGAATGTACGTATACACTGTAGGTACTGGATTAAAAGATTATTGTTTTTTTTTTTTTGCAAATGGATAATTCTAAAGTTTTTTTAATTTATAGTTTTGGATATTACAATTTACAAGGTTACTTTTATCATCGTTTTATTATAACGCATTAGATTAGTTATAGCAAATCAAACGTGGTTTATTATTGTTTTTTATATTGCGAATAATATTCGAACAGGTAATAGATACTTGTTTTCACATGTTCAGACGCTCCCAACATGTACAAGGCTGAATTGTATAGCCATTCTACAAATACAATGCTAATCTAAACATAAACCTACAAAATATTAAAATCATTTACTTATTAATTTTTATATGATAACTTTTGTTTTTTTTTATTAAATTAATGCGTATGCATATTAAATTGTATTACATTATTCTATTTCAACAAGTTTTTATTTTTTTCTAAGCTAATGTGTATTGTTTTGTTGTTCGAATTATCTCGTAATTACATTGAAATATATCATTACATTGCATGAGTCCCATTATACAGTCGGTCAATTAGTAGCCACGATTTATGGTTCGGATGTAATTGTGATTATACTGGAAATGTCTTACTTTTTTGAGGGATTATTTTTTTTAGTACATTAGTAATAATATGATCACGTATAATAACGCAATAAACTGTTTTTTTTTTGTTTACATTGACAAGGATCTATATACCTCAATATCTCAATATACCTATTGCATCTATACCTAAAAAAATATATTAAAATAATTCCTTACCGGACACAATTTTTATCACGTCTGGTACAAAACTTGAAAACTGTTTTTTTAATTATTTATTTATCAAATACATTTAAAACAGGTTGAGTGAGAAAACCAGGGTTACTTATTAGTACCTAGGTCAAATTATTTTTGATATTTGAACTCTAATAAAAGAACATAGCATTTTTAACAGATCTTAAAATTTGTTTTTCTTAACAAAAAAATTACTTGTATTATTGAATTTAAATTATTGACATCATATTACACGTCATCTATTTAGTAGGTTAGTAAGTAAGTAATAAGTACCATACTACACATCCATTGTATCGTAATTCATAAGTATATAGGTTTTGAAGGTTCAAAACACAATTATAGTAGCATTCAAAAACACTTTGTTTTACAATATTTGTTATATTACTTCTATTAATATACTTAAAAACCATGCGTTATTAATGTTTATACTTGACATGTGTAATAAGTAATAACTAGTAGCTAATAATACGTAAAATCTAAAATAGACCATTAGTATCAGGCGAGTCATTGACATTACTAACCCAATTGAAGAATGAAGCTGCAAAAAATAAAGTCACACCAATGCGTATAAATTCTAGACTTACCTAGTTATAATTAAACATATTATGATACCAAACATAAGATAAAGTGTAAAAACATCATCATTTGTTAAAAAAAATAATTTAGTATGTAAACGGTATTCGTCACTAATCATGCTCTCCCTATTTTGTCTTTTAAAAATTAATTTTTAGAAACATATACTGTGATTTTTATGACATTTAAGGAGTTTTCTGTAGTAATACAAACTTATTATTTTCAGATCAACATCAACCTTTATTATTGTACATTTTAAATTAAATACCTTATTTGAACATTTTGATGTGTATAAGTCGAGATTCAAATAAGTAGTTTCTGAGTTATTAACTTTAAGTAAATATTAAGGACTATTGTCTAAAATATTGTTTTAGAATATTCCTAATGGTTATGATAAACTGAAAATGATATTTAATGTTTGTATTTCTTATTTTAATTTTAATTTATTATTTGAGAAGATAATAATATGTCCCACTGAAAATATTCGTGTATGAACACGTATACAACATTTTTATAATTTTTACTCATTTTCTAAACATAATATACATATTATAGGTATTAATTAGTTAATATTACACATATTTTAATTTTTTTTTTTACGAATATTCAGGATTACCCTAGGTTTAATAACGCTAAACATTCAAATTTTGATTAAAATGAATCAAAATTTTCAAAAAAAGAAACCAGATTAATAATTTAAGGAGAAGAAAGGGTGGTTTTCACTTGAAAAAAATTTGTACCACTACAGATTACTCTTTAAATGGCCAACATCTGAGAATTTGTTTATTTTGAAATATGATTTTTTATAGGTAATTACTTAAGAATTTTAAAAATCAGAATTTAAATAAATAGGAAAAGAAGGAAGGTAAGTGTTCATATTTGGTAAATCACCCTGTGCATGAGATGATAAATACAATTACTATTTTAAACCTAATAGTGTTTTTGACCATAATATTATGTGTTAGGCAAATATCTCTGTCGAATCATTTATATATTATGATGCAAATAGTAGGTATATAAATATTAGAAAATGTAGGTGAATGTAAAAGTTACTTCTTTTTAAGACTTTAAGTATTATTACCTTAAATATTTGTTTACAAGTTATATATTTGAGGCTAATTAAAAAATTCACTTTCTTCAAAAGTTAATACTTCGAGGAAATTGTTTGATTAACACCTAGTTAATTTAATATAATATAATATTATATAATCATGACTTAGCTGACTTAGATTCTGAGCTGAGCAAGAATGTATTGATTTTGCAATGATGTGTAATTTTTTTTACTCTAAGTAGTTAAAATTAATAATTATGCTTCGATTTTCAACTTCTGTATTTTTTTCAATAGGAATGTGAATCTAGTTTGTGTATTCAAGAGGTCAAAGTTTAAAATTCCGAATAATTTCTTAGCGTACCGGGAAAAACAAAAAACAAATTAAGGACAAACAGGAAGTTTTGGGAAAAATTAATTTTGGTTTTTGGTGTTACTCTAAAAAAAATGACCGTAGATGTAGATACATGGAATTTTTGGTCAATGTTTATATTAGAATTTTCTATACATCATGAGGTTCTCAAAATATTTTAACTCATATGTTGAGCTATTTATAGGTATATGAAATGTTTGATTATTATTAGTTTTTTTAAAAATAAATGTCAATAAAAAAAAACTTGTTTGGTCAAAAAATACTTGAAAAAATAATACAAGGTTTCCTGTACCTAAGTTGTTTTTAGACGAAATTAAAAAAAAAGTTTATCGTTAATCCACACAAATTAAATATTTATAAAATGTTTAATCTTTATTGCTATTATTTTGTTGTAATCATCTTGTAATTCAAATTGAACATCATCCCTATTACAATGACCAACACGACACCTAAAGTACAGCTAATCGGTATCCATTGTCTCAACGTTTATTTTTTATGTCTAGACCAATGATTTTATGTTAATTGAAATCCGAGATATAACATTGTTTTCTTAAAAAAAATAATATTGAAGTGAATTGTACGCAGGAGTGGTTACCAACATTGTGTATTGTATTCCCTGCCACAATGTTCTGTAAATTATGAATCATTTACTATGGGCTCAATAATATTTAGTGTTTAGACATCAAAATGTTGAAGGTAAAACTCTTAAAAAATAATTTTATTAATAATGTTGCAGAAATATTAAAGAACGAATTATAAAATAATTCTACGAACACAGGTATAATCGTATTGACTACTCTGATTAACAATATTGTACCAACACAGATTTAAAATTTAAATATTTACTTATTTCACTTATAACTGGACAAAATTGTTGAATAAGAAAACAATATTATTATTTAATTTAATTGTTTTCGGTTACTCCATAATATTGTACAACCAATTTAAAAACTATAGTAGGATGTTTATAGTTTTTTTTCGAGCCATTTTTTTTATTCACCCATTTTTTTCGATCTTGAACACAACAGCAGAATAAAAAAATCCGACTGTCTATAAAGTAACTACCATTGTTCAAGGACACCAAGATTCAGTATCTTCCAGATGCAAAGATTCTACTTTTTTTACATTCTCCATATTTTACCCCGATAATGCGTACGATTTAATGAACCACTCATGTTTTAAATTTCGTTTATTTATATACAGTCTGTGACCGGTATAAGATATCAATATCCACGCTTTCGTGATTTAATTTTCTAATCTTTTTGTTCTTTAGTAAATATATACGACTACGTAATTTAGCCAACCATAATTATTTGTGTGCATTTATTTATGATAAAATATCATCTCAATAATAAAAAAACCCAATATGATTGACGACGAAATTCAATATGGTGTAAAAGTGATAAATGCATTTAAGAGTTATGGAGGAAATAACGTATTTAATGGATTGAACATGAATGTGGCGTCGGGTTCCATGTAAGTTATTATATTTGAATAATGGTTATTTATTTATTTTTGACTCATTTAAATTTTCATTAAAGGTGTAATAATATTAATGTTCGGTTATTATTGATTTTGATTATTAATGATGTAGCAGTCACTTAAAAATATATAATATGGGATATACAATTAAAATAGGCAGGAATACTGAAATTTAAGACTGACTTGGTAGGTATTAAATTTTAAATACCTACGTAAATATGAAATGATGATAATGTATAAGAAAATAGAGTTAAAGAAATAAATTCAATAATTCGGCTTCTGAGATTATTAGATTTTATAATGAGCTTAGCATAGCATTTATACATAGCATGTATAAATATAAATTATAAATAAATAATATAAAGTTGTGTTATAGTTTGTAGATAATATTCGACAATTATTTCAATGGTCATGGATTGTCTGAAAGTGTGGGACTGAATTGTGATCTCGTCTTCTTGTTTGTAGGCACCAGTTACTACCAAAATCTACATTTTATTTTTAAAATTCATTACAATACAACGAAACCCCTAACTAGCGCATACCCTCGATCACTGAATATTTGTCCGTTATTTGGAGGTTTCCGTTATTCAGAGTACATTTTTGAAATTCATAAAATGTATAAAAGCATCCTACGAGTTATGTAGATTTAATGATTTTATAATTGAAAAAAAATAATAAAATATATACATGATATACAGCCATATACCTAGGCATTGGGTAATAAATTAAATAATATATTTTATATAAATTGTATTCAAGGATAGAAAAACTTAGTAACCTTGATCTGTTTAAAATTTTGCCGTCTCCGGAAAGTCTCAGGAGTAAGTTCATTTGCATAGTTACAGTAAAAGAGAAAACTGAAGTGTTTTCTTTTTCAAACTTTTCTCCCAGAAAACAAATTCCTACGCTGCAATTGTCTTAGACGGAAGTCGATAATTTCAATTTTTTCTCGAAGCTACAACCTCTTTCGCTTTAGGCCACTCATTTTAAAATCGTATTCTTTAGTCGCTTGTCGAATAGAAAATCACTGATCGACAAAACAAACGAAACATTGGCAGTCAATGTTTAATTTTCGTCGTTACTCGTCGGATTGTTATCTTATCGTTCAATGACAAGTTAACTTATTGTTTAACTTAAAGCTTTTTCTTATCAAGTTTGTTATAACATTATTACATTATTACGAGAGTACCTACATACTAATGCAAATGCGTTTTGGTACCAACATTTTGGTTTTTTTTTTAATTAAGGTAAAAATAGGATTCTTATTCTGAGGGTTTCCTATTAAAAAGTAGAGAAAATGTCCTCGTTTTCAAAAAAAAACGTCCGCTATTGGGAGGTGTCCGTTAGAGGAAGTTTCACTGTAAAAAAATCAATTATTGTTTCACATTTCAATAATGAAATATCTAATTTCAACACTCGACAATACTTTTGTATTCCTTTTTAAAGTTTTGATTTGAATAGAAATAAAAATAGCCGTGTTATATCGTTTTCTGAACAGTTAAACTTGTTACCTATTTTTAAGTATTTTAATTATCATGAAGTGAACCTAAAGTTACGGTATTGGACATAATCTTACAGTTACAATTAATGCGATTTATAATAAAGATAGAGCTAGTTGAGTAGAGTATGTTTATAAATAATTGTAATAATAGTTATGTAGGTATGCTGTTTTTAATGGTAATCTGTAAACATCTAATTATTAGTGAAGCTTTTAGGAAAGATTAAAATTAAAATTCAGATAATATTTTTAAACTTGATTGGCTAAAATAGAAAAAAAGATTTTATTACATAAAAACGAAAATAATACATTACATTTTTATTTTTATAAATGTTCGAAATGACCTCCATTATTTGCAACACAGAGTTGAAGTTTTTCGACCCAAGCGTTCTTAACATTTCCTAATGTCTCGGGTAAGATATTTTGAATATTTTGTTCAATTTTATGACGAAGATCAGGCAATGAACACGACGGATACACAAGATTTTTCAAATAACCCCATAAAAAAAAATCCATCGGTGTTAAATCGGGGGACCTAGGTGGCCAAAGCACTGGACCCCTTGTTCCCATCCATCTTCCCGGGAAGTGCTAAAAATAAGCAGATCATTGGACCCTTTTTTATAGAAGGTAATTTAAACGGAGAAAAGTATCGAGATTTATTAGAAGAAAGTGTGTGGCCAATAATTTCTCAGTTAATTAATACAAACAGAATAGAGCCAATTTTTAAGCAAGACGGTGCACCAGCACATAATTCAAATATTGTGAGAGGTTGGCTGGATGAGCACTTCCCGGGAAGATGGATGGGAACAAGGGGTCCAGTGCTTTGGCCACCTAGGTCCCCCGATTTAACACCGATGGATTTTTTTTTATGGGGTTATTTAAAAAATTTTGTGTATCCGTCGTGTTCATTGCCTGATCTTCGTCATAAAATTGAACAAAATATTCAAAATATCTTACCCGAGACATTAGGAAATGTTAAGAACGCTTGGGTCGAAAAACTTCAACTCTGTGTTGCAAATAATGGAGGTCATTTCGAACATTTATAAAAATATAAATGTAATGAATTATTTTCATTTTTATGTAATAAAATCTTTTTTTTCTTTTAGCAATCAAGTTTAAAAATATTATCTGAATTTTAATTTTAATCTTTCCTAAAAGCTTCACTAATAATTAGATGTTTACAGATTACCATTAAAAACAGCATACCTACATAACTATTATTACAATTATATTATTTATAAACATACTCTACTCAACTAGCTCTATCTTTATTATAAATCGCATTAATTATAACTGTAAGATTATGTCCAATACCGTAACTTTAGGTTCACTTCATGATAATTAAAATACTTAAAAATAGGTAACTAGTTTTACTGTTCAGTAAACGATATAACACGGCTATTTTTATTTCTATTCAAATCAAAACTTTAATAAGGAATGCAAAAGTATTGTCGTGTGTTGAAATTAGATATTTCATTATTGAAATGTGAAACAATAATTGATTTTTTTACTACAATTATTCAAAAACATAACTTGCTCTAACTTGGTCAATTTTTATTGAATTTTAGTATTGTTTTTTTTTGAACTGTTTTAAAAAATATGTTCAACAAAATGGCTATCTTAAAAATTTTAAATTCTTAAATGCGTAAAAAAATTTTTTGAAAATTTTTGAATTTTAAAAAAAAAAAAATGAATTTTATGCCATTCAATCAGAATTGTCATACTTAGTACTGTAAAAAATACCGCGTTTAAATATAGTGATTTTATATGGAGATATTAAGGGTGATACGGGACTTTTGGAACATACTGTATATGGAACTAAAAATTTTAAGTATTGAATAAATGCACACAATTTATTTGGAATGAAAATAATCATTTAGCTATATTGAGTGAAATATGATATAATACCTAAGGATAAAATAATAAGGAATTGAATGCTTAAGATACTGAAGTGAAAGGATACATTTAATCAAATTTATTTATAGTATGGAATAGCAATATATTTGATATTATAACTTGTTGCGTTTCTCGTATACTTCAAATAAAGTACAGTATATTTTAATTTAAAATCTTATTGATATTGTTGTATACTTAAAAAAAATATATTTTATTATTACAGAAAAATCCGGGGAAAATTTGACTTGAATAAATATATCAGTTTAAAATACAAGTTTTATAAGACGTATTAAAAAAAATCACATACTTACATTATTTTATATTTATTTTGATACCATGATTTTGAATTTTAAGATAATTAATTTAAATATGACAAAATGTTCATATTCTGTAATTCTGTCTCAGGTCTAGGTTTGTAATACCTTAATATATAATCATCCAAAATAACGCATCCTACACATTTCTTAATGAAAATTTAAAATCTTCGTTTATGTAATTGTTATAATGGTTTCTTGTAAATTATTGTGATCTGTCTAACGTTATCTCTAAATTTTTGCAGTCGGGTAATGACTTAGCATATCTCAGATAAATGTATAACATTATTATGATCTTCGTATTTTGTAAACAATAATATATTATATGTTATTAAGTCGTATACAAAACTATTGTCAGGAAATTAAGCTTTACATTTGTATTTAATGAATATAAATCATTAAAAATAAAATTGGTATTTTTATAAATGTAGCAAAGTAACATTATGTCGTTATTACTATATGTTTATACTTTAATATTTACGTGTCCATAATATTGCACAAAATAAAATACCTAATCGATAAATGTCAGTAAAATCGCCTTGCCAACTTTAGACTAGTGATTTATTTAAAGCCTCTTAGCTTGATCGGTATACTAGAATGATATTTTAACGAAGTGTAAACTCAGATAAACAGCTATAGTAATTATTCGGTTCTAATGAATGCATCGTTTAGTATAACAAAACAAGTAATATTTCATTCAAATTAAATGAATGAGGTTGTTAGAATAAGACACGATTTATACATTTAATGCGTTTAGTTTAAGTCTAGAAAAATCGATTTTGCAATGATGGAGTTGTCTTGTAATTAAATCGTTGCCACATAAACGTAACACCTAGATACAAATATCAACTGTATTGACCATACATTAAATAGATAAATACCTTACATTAAATCTAAAAATAGAACTACGAACTAACAACAAATACATACTAATCAATCATCATTGCCCTTAAAGATATTTTAGTTCAGTAATAATTCTACTAGAAAGGTAACTTTTTTTAAATTTTTTAATCAATGTTTTAAGTGAAAATTTATTTTGACTTTACTAAAAACTACAAATAAGAATTAAATTAAATTTTTTATATTATTTGGAAAAACGTTATACCTCAGAGCTTCAAATCATGATTTCCTAAATACATTTTGACCTCATAGTGATACTAATATACTCAATTAGGAGTTAAGACTATACTCAATAATCCATTTCAAGGGTGTATTGCTGAAGGAATTATAAGAATTTGGATAATCCTCCTGAATTAGTTAAACCTTTACTGACATCTATTCCCTCGCACTTATTAATAGTTTTAAAATAGTTGTCTAATTAATATGATTTGCATTTAATTATTTACTGTGTATTGGTGTGAAATTATGAAATTACGATTGATGAAACTGGTCGTACATATCACGTGTGTACAGTACATTAAAATTAAATGAAGAACGAAGTAAGAGGTTTCTTGAAAACAATTTAGTCAAATTTTATTCAATTTATTGTATTTTAGAAGTGAGGTAAGTCCGTGAACATTAAGATTTTATGAAAAGGACCACAGTATCAAATTGAGTTATGTGACCAAGTGTACAAATATAAACAGGAGGGGAACAAAACAAATTAAAGTAAGTTCCCCACCATGTTTCGGATTTGTATCTTCTATCTATTGGTATAAGGTCTATTATAATAGCTAGAATCTACACATAGCCAAGTACTGCACTAATAGTATTATGAATGAAGTATTCTCTTTTTAATAAATATATAATAATATTATGTTCATTGATGATAATAGCGGGAGGAGGGTCTCAGCGTACCCATTTCCTTTGGGGCACAGTTGTTCTTGAACATTATTACATTTGGAATTTTATAATAATTATGGTTATCTACTTGAGGTAACCTCGAAATATTGAATTGTTTATATTAGATAGCTTGTAATCTTTTTGTAATAACAACGGAAATATACTATTTTTAAATATAATATTCTACTAATAGTTTAATGCATCAACCATTGATGTTGAATTGAACTTTTGAAATATATTTCAAGCGCCTTGGTTGTGTTACAAATATTAAGTCATTAACTGAGTATAAAAGTGGTAGATTAATTTTGAATTCATTAAATGTTAAATATATTTATACGTTTAAAAATTGTGATATTTATACACGTCTTGTTGGTTTGTTGATGTAAATAAATAATCATAATACAAACTAATTTTAAGCTCAGAGCTGAGCAATGAATATATTGAATTTACAATTACGTGTGTGCGGATTTTGTTTGTTTGTGTGCATGTTTTATAGTTCATGTTTTAATTTTCAATCTAAGTATCTTTTCTCGTAAGGAAGTGAATCTCGTTATTACTTTTGAGAGGTCAAAATTAATATATAATTTATATTTTGACAGAATTGTGACAAAAAAAAAATTAAGGTTACACTGGAATTTTTACGCAAAACAAGTTTTTGACATAATTATTTTTTTTTTATACTTGGTACACCTTCAACAACTTAGGTGATTATTAGTTTGACACAATAATAAATATTAATGCTACATATGGTTGAATATAATTTGGTTTTTCTAGATTAAATTGTACATATAAATATGTTTGATAAATGAGATGGTTTTTTCTAGTTGGCATGTAGTTTTGACAATACACTATGAAGTGATTGACTGTAAGAGGTTCTTCGTTGGTTTGGAACAATGTTGGTTCTTCTCTAGGTATAATATGACCTTAAAACATATAATATTATACATATTTAATCTGTTTATAATTACTTATATTTGCGATTGAATGAATGAAGTTGTGGTATATTTTTCATTTCTCTATGTTTATTATATTTTGGGGTAAACCACCATTCGGATTCTAATAAATTGGTAAAATAGGTGCTAAGATTTTCTTATTTTGCTTTAATTCAAAAACAAATAACTGTAGGTACTTGACATTTTTACTAAATGTTTATATTACGATTATTGCAGATATGGCCTTTTGGGACCAAGTGGTTGTGGTAAATCGACACTTCTTCAATGCATAATGGGATCAATGGAATTGGATTCAGGATGTATAGACTTGAAAGCAATAAATTTAAAAGACGTGGGATATATGCCTCAAGTAAATATAGAATTTGAACGTTTGTTTTATATTGATTTTAACACTTAGTTATTTTGAAGAGTTTATGTTTGGAAAGCACACTTACCATAAAAGAAACTTTTGAATACTATGGATCACTTTACAACATGAGCAAAAAAGAAATCGACATAAAAATAGATGAGCTTGTTGCATTCTTACAGTTACCAAATTTAAATAGTTTGATTCGAGATATAAGGTACACATTACTCTATATTTAGTAATCTTTTAATGTAATACATGACACATATAATTCATTATAAATTGTTCAAAAAATACTTTACCAGCATATAAAATAATCATAATTGTTTAAAATGTGTTTCCAATTTTCATGTTAAATAATATGTTAAATATTAATTATATTATTTTATGACAATCTACTCCAGATAAAATATAGAAAATAAAAATATTTTAAAAATTATATCATATTGAATCAAGTACAATCTAAGAAATAATTATTTAGAATTTGGATCATTATTAATTAACTCATTATTTGAATTGCTATGAAAATTCTTATAGTTACAGTAGCGTCTCAGTATTTTTTAATGATTTGTGATAGAAAAATTGAGTTAGCCATGAAGTTGTAGCCACTAGAACCCACAGGTATAAGACACTTAAAATCTCATATTAGAAGTTAGCAACTTTAAGATGACGTGTTTTCGTTCATTTACACGAAATTACTACAGCCATATATTTTTTACGGAGAGCGCATATGGGTGTTTACAAATCCATCAACTACTTTTTAAACTTATATACAATATTTAAATTTTTAAATTTTTAAAAATGTTGTTTGATTTTTCTAAACATTTTATATCTTCCCATCTTGTCTCATAATAAATTTGGTAAGATGAGATATGGTGTATAGTTATACGAATCATATACTTTTTAATAATTGTTGATCTACTACTGTAATTTATTTTATTTTTACATTATTTCCTTTTAGTGGTGGCCAAAGTAGAAGGGTATCACTTGGTGTTTGTTTATTGCATAATCCTAAACTTATTATATTGGACGAACCTACAGTTGGAATTGATCCTTTACTAAGACAAGAGTAACTCATTGAATAAAAAATAATTTAAATTCAATACTAATTTTTATAAATATTTTCTAGGATTTGGAATGGTCTTATGACAATGGTTAAAGAACAACAAAAAACAATCATAATAACTACTCATTATATCGAAGAAGCAAATCTAGCCAGCTGTGTAAGTCTCTATATTGTTTTTTTTTTATTTATATATTTATATAGAAATAAGACTAATATCACGTATTTTACTTAAAATTTAAATTAAAGCCTATTAAATCAGACTAGGTACAGTGTACAACAATACAATCTTACTTCAATACAAAAATATCACAAAAGTTCGTTTGGTTGAAGTAGCTATGTTTCCTGTTAGCATGGGTTTTAACATCATATTAATCTAATATGAACATTTTAAGATTCTTAGATTTCACCTAATAATTTGACACGCTTTGTTTACTACTCTGACAAATCATTCCACAACTTTAAATAACATAAAATATTTAAATTATATAATCTAATTTGTTCAGGAGAATGCACCCGTGTATCTTCATGGTGTGTTTTCTTCGTTTAACAATCTTTCAACTTAACAAATTTGAGTTCAGCAGAACCAATTATCTATGCGTTGTTTTATTTAATACGAGTTAGTTAGCACAATCACCTATTGGCTATTATAAATTTAAAAGTAAGAATATAACCTACATGTGTTCGTACATTGACTGTTCATTGTAAATTAATTTTTGAGCGAGTTATGATCATTTTTGTATTGTTATAATTCATGTTACATAATACATTATATTATTATTCACAAATAGCTTGAAAATTAAAGCAACAAATACAGAATATAATGTCCAAATTATTCAGATTGATTATAGATCAATTCACTCCAATATCATCTATAATATTCGAGCTAACAACACAAGAGTTGTTTACTCTGAACTAAAAATTGTTATGTTGTATGCTTGTAAAGTTGCGACAACGTGTGCGTGTGGGGCCTCTTATTTATTTATGAATTTATACAATGCAATTTAAAATTGCAGTTTGTATTCGTACTTAACTTATTATAAAGATAATCATATTTAATTATATTGTACCTATTTAATAACGAAACAACTCTCAGCTATTAGGTGATACTCAGTTATTTAGATATATTTGAGAAAATTATTAAGAGGACTCTACACTTGCATGCGTTGTGTCTGCCTTACAAATGTAACAGATAGCAAAAACGGTTTCACGTGGCAAAGAACCTAAAATACTACAGTTATAACTAAGGAATCAAATTTCCACAACGAATAGATTAGAATTTTAACTGTGTCTTAGGTTCTTTATTATTTCGATAAAACAAATATAATCAAAAGTTATTTAAGTTTGGAAAACTTAAAAATAACAGATTTTTAAAAGTATTATAACTTTTTTCTTATCAATTAATTAATTATTAATGTCAAACAAATAAAATCGCTACGACATAACACATATTATCTTTTATAATATGTTAACTTTTGGTGTCTTTACTAGAACTACAGATTGAGTGTTTCAATAAGTGTTTCTAAAACAGTTTTTGCTATTTTGTACATATCTAAGCAGAGACAACACAATGCAGGTATGGCGTTCTCTTAACTAGATACAATCGTGTACTATACTTTATCAGTCAAAATTTTACGTACAATAGATAACAATTATCAAACATTAAATAAAAATAATACTATCATACACAATTTCAAATAGAATTGAATAATTAATTAATAATGACAAAAGAATCCCAAATTATGTTATCACCAAACCAATAACTGACAAATAATGAATGTGTTGGGCATTTAATATTAACAGTCTATTATTATATGTAGCGTAGCGTGATCAGAACTGTTTAAAATTACGAAATACATTTCCGCAAACCATTTAGAAGTAGGAAATTCAACGCTGTTTAATAACGTCTTTATAATAATTTGATTAATCCCTACCCCAAAATATTAAGTATAGAAATGTATAAAATTATTTGAAAAAAAACTTAACGTGCCTGTTATTTAATTTTTTAATTACTGTTGTAGATTGGTTTAATGAGAAATGGAATACTGGTAGAAGAAGGAGCGCCTCAAGATATTATTTCCAAACATGAAGCAGATTCATTGGAATCAGCTTTTTTAACCCTTTGTGCTTATCAAGATACAAATGAATTACCAACGGTATATTTTGATACAAATATAATTAATACATTTTTTTAAACTTAACAACTTTTTGTAAGTACGTGGTGAAATTGATATTTCTGTGAAGAGGTATTGTGTAAAGGGGGTTACCATAATGGTCTGTTTTTGGATGTGAGCTAATATGAACTGTGCGTATCCGCGCGCGAGCTGTAATGTGGTTGTGATGTGCGTGCAAGCATTTCAAACGTGTAATTTCCGTATGCACATGTATTATGGATATTATGTCACAACAGCTCAGTCACATGAAATATAAGTTTTATGCATAACTTATGTACTTTTATCTATAATAATACCTACATTCATATTGGTTGAACAATTTATCAGAAAATATTTCTAATAACTGATTTTGATTTGTTAGCAACCTTACTTTACATCGTCGTTTTCAAGTTTTTACTTCAATACCTCAACATCTGGCAAAAATATATTTATTATTTTGTAATTTCCAATAATGCTATTGAGAAAAAAGTAGAGAGAAATTTAAAGTAAGGATAAAGTCGATGAAAATATGTTCACAAATCCAATATGTGTTTGTAATTTTGATTTTTGATCAGTCTATTAGATATTTAGATGTCTAACTTGCTACGATAGATTAATTATAAATTATTTAATATTATAAATTGGAACTTTTGACGTAAAATAAATGAACAGATTCATTAATTTAGTATTGATATACTCTTGGAAAAATGCAATCAGATATCGTCGGGTGTCGCTGGCTCCCGGATGGTTGACCACTCAGGCTTTTAGCAACAAAACCTCACCAAGAAAAAATAGTACCCTCCACCTTCTCCACAAATACTAATGTCCATGGTTGCCAATTCCATATTTTGATTTTAAAATTTAATTAAAATCAAACTGTTTCAAAACTTTTTGTATTGTTTAGAATCTTCCTACAGCAGTTCAAAAAACGGATAAAATAAAATCAAAAAAATTAATGGAAGTTGGTAAAAAAGTAGATTTTATAAGAATTAAAGCATTGCTTAAAAAGAATTTTCATATATTATGTCGTGATTACTGGTAACCATAATTCAAGTACAATTGTATTTTAATATAAATGCTGTAGTACACTTATATATTAATATATATTTTATAGGTTAATGTTTACCTTGGTTATTCTTCCCATCATACAAACTAGTAATTTTTGTACTAGTATCGGATCAGATTTTAAACGAATGGAAGTAGCAATACAAAATGATGAAATTAATCTAAATAATTGCAAATATTTTAACCCCAGTGGATGCATTTTTGATAATATTACAAGTCAATCAATGAGTTGCGTTGCTATAAACTATCTCACATCACATGATTATAAATTAGTAAGTAGAAAATACGAGTTTTATGAGATAAATATTTTCAGTTACTTCCATAATAAGCCAATAAGGTTCTGGTGTTTGAATAAATAGGTTCTTTTTCAGACGATTAAGTATGATCATAACTTTGTCTCAAATAATTGGGCAGGTATCTTAAGGTGCCCATTGCATACTTATCTACCTACTAATTAATTATTTAGGTTGAAGTAAAAGATCGTTATTCTGGTGAAATGCTTGTGGACAAAAACAATTTTTTAGCATTTATACATTTTCCAAAGAACTATACTAAAGGCTTGACCATATTTATTGACAGTCCCGATGATTATGATATGAAATCGCTGCCTTACATGCATTTTTCCAAACATAGTATGTAAATCCAATTGTATTTCAAATTATGCCTGTAACCAACGTTAAAATAATTTGTAATTTTAGATATGTTGTTTAAAAATCAAATATTATTGGATGTAACAAATGCAATACGTTATCTAATGAAGACAACTTTAAATAGTTGCTCCAATAATCCAAAAATAGCTGGTTTACCCATGGTAAGATTTATCATTATAATATACTCCATTAATATATTTCATAAAAAAATAATGATACCTACTATAGTACAATTACATTAATATTTTTATTTCAAACGGTTTGTTTCTATGAAAATCAAGTGTGATATAACCTAGTTATATTTCATTTTGATTCAAATTTGTTGAAATGTATACATAATATGCTTGTGTTTTTGTTTTTAGGAGTTAAATATATTATATGGAAAAGATGTGAAATATCACCGTAACAGTACAGCGGCCATTTTCCTAGCAATGTGACTATTACTATTATTTTTAATTAACTTAAACATTGTTTATATTAAAAGTCAGTTATATTATATTGTTTTTTATCATTAATCAATATGCTACAAAAGTAGAACAATAAGTTTAAATGATAATAATATTAGTATACACAGGAAACACAGAGTGAAAAGACCTCTCAGTGTAGGTACTTCGTCAATAGCTAACTTACATGCACTTCCATTTTCATTTTTTTTTTTATTACATAATTTTACATAATAGCTAATGAATTATATACTCATGTGAGCAGGTCACTACAAAATTGTATTTTTAATCTCTTTTGGAGATTACTAGGTATGGATATAAATGCTAGTTGAGAAATAAGTGGATTGAGATGAAGCTTTTGTAAGGTATTTTGGATAATTTCGTGTTGATATTTTGAAATCAAAGTAATGGGATTTATTTGAGACGTAAAACGATACTGAGGTTTTTGACTGAATTTTTTAGATACAGTTTGTATTGGAAATTTGTACTGCTCCGCAGACGTGCATTATGTATAATATGGGTCTAAGTAGTAAATATAAAGTAATATATAGTTTATTGATCAATCATTTGTTTGGTCGTTTTATATTTTTGGAGGTTAGTATGAACGAATTAGGCGTAGGCGATTATTTAGTGATTGAACTTTGTTTTAATGTGAGAGAGCCAGGTAAGACGACGGTTTATGTCAATACCAAGTTGACGTGCATATTGAACTATTATTTAAGATTATTGAGAGCATTTTTCTGGCATATTCATACATATATGGCATAGAGTGAGGTGCAATGGATGGACTTACTTTCGTTCATTTTAACTCCCCATTTTCTATACCAGATTTCAAGAAAGTTGAAATGATTTTGGACGTAGAAGGGTTCTTGATAGGGATCCTTTACTAGTGGCTATGATAGATTTGTTGTCGACAAAGTTTGATTCTAGTTTGGATGATATGAATATGTTGAAAAGTAGTTGGTGGTCACTGTGCTTTGTGGAACACCAGTATTAATTTTTGTCGGGAGTAAAATAGCGAGGCCTACCCGCATTGAAAAATTTGGTCTTCTAAGTAAGTTTTTTAGAATTAAATTGTTGTTTCTGGGTAGTATACATTTTAGCTTGCAAAGTAAATCTGCATGCCACACTCTGTCAACCGCTTGAGAAATATAAATAAAGGTACCAGTACAGTAAAATTTCTTTACCAAGGTGAATGAGATTTTGCCTCTGTACTTGTTGAAGAATAGTAGAATGACTATTACGAATTCCAAATTGGAAGTTAGGTAAAATATTCGCATCATTGACTATGGGTAGAATATAAGTTGAAGAAGAAGTGTTTAAAACCTTTTTGATAGAATTGGGAGAAGGTTCATATAAGACCTATTGATCTGTATGTGGAAGGGGAGGTTAGTGGTTTCTTATGTTTTAGAGTAAGAATATGATGCTTGAATCTTTTCAAAACATAGGGAAGTAGCATATTCTGATCACTGAGTTGGACGATAGTTCTCTTAAGAAGGTGCCTAGTTATTTTACCAGTGATTAATTCAAAACCGGGCGTTTTTTTAGAAATGCTATTGAAACTATCAATTATTGACATTTAAATAGATTATGAATGAATCAGAAACGTTTTATATGATTCACGTAGTTGGAATTTGGTGGATTTGCTTGGGGGTGATTCTCCCCGCCTAGTTTATAAATTAGTACCCTCACTACTTATGCAATTCGTAGACTTACTAAAAGAAATAAGGGGCTCTAGCATCCCCAGTTTTTTCATTGAAATTGCACCACTGATGATGAAATATACAAAAAGCATTACGATTGAAAATGTATGATAGTGGTACTCAATACTATTGTTTCTGCATATCTAAATAGGCAGTTAAGAATGATTGAGCTAAATAGTTCTGTATTTAATTTTTTTGGTACCTATTTAACATACAATTACTTAATTGAATTAACAAAATCTATGTTTTCAAATGAAATGAAGTGCATTTTCATGTACTGATGTAAAAACTTAACACAAATTAATGCTTTTAAGTGAATTAAAAATTGCAATTGTACATCATACTTGTTAGTTGTCACACATAAGTTCCATTTGAAAATTCAAAAATGGTCATCGATGTATATATATATATGAATATATTATTGTATTATATGTATACTTTTGTATTGTTTGTATATTATAATTTTTCATTCATTTAAAGCTTAAAAAAACAAATTATATCCTAGTTACTATTTTTTTTTTTTTATTTTAGGGGAGCATTTTATTTTAGTAGTATTTATTCAGTGAGTATTATGCTATCAGAAAGAATGGATGGAATCCTAAGTCGATCAATGTTTGCAGGTAATTCAATAATATTTGAGCACCGGAAATTATTAAAATCTTAAATTAATTTTGTTTCAGGTGTTACGATATTGGAATTGCTCATTTCTATGTTTTGTATTTCAAATGCTTTAATTATCGGGCATTCATCTATTTCTATTATTATCACCTATGTATTATTTTCGAACCCCATTGTCATATCCAATGGTCTATTCGTATATGTCATATTGATAATAATTATGTCATGGATAGGATTTCTCTTTGGTGTGTATTAAGTAAAATAAATATGTATTAATATATGATATTATGATGAATGTTGATAAGTTTAATTAAAAGCTATTCGTTATTATTCACTTCACTGAGAAATACATATTTAGAAACGATAGTAGGTACTGCATTTGCAGTTACAGAAAGCCTAGGTAACTTCAGTCACAATTTCTAAAACATTTTAGCATTTGAAATTTTCTTTTTGAATTTTAGTTAAAGTTTAACTATTTAAAACTAAATACAACAATTTTTTGAACCTATTAACATCCATCTAAAATTGATTGTTATTTAATAAAATGAAATAAAAATATCTATTCGTAACTAAAATTTTTTATTTAGATATTTATTATAAACATAAAGCATAACATACAAACTATGAAGAATCATTTACAGCAGTACAAATCAAAAAATTCAAATGATAGATAAAATAAATGTTTCTTAGATGACATTTCTTGGCTAAATAACACCTTTTATTCTAAATTTCTAAACAATTTTAAAATGTGTTTAAAAGTATATTAACACACATATTATATTGCTATTGGGCTGGATACAACTTTTTTTTGTTATCGATAGGTATTTCAAAATAACGTCAAAACTTTATAATTTCGTATTACAGTTGCTAGGTTCCCTTTATAAATACATTTTCCTTTAATACGAGTAAATTACTATAGCGACCTCATTAGTACATTTTTAGGTTTATAAAAATTGAAATTTAGAACACCTTAAATCCCCGTCGTGTCTACCCTTCCATTAGTTAACAGCACATAGTTATGATTGTTAACTGTTATCTGTATTAGATTGTATAACCATGGTTCTATTCAAAGTAAATTTATGCTAGCAATTATCAAACAATAGGTACCAAAATAAAAAGGCTAGGTATTAAATTATTTTTAAATTGTATATGGAAATTTAATTGTTTGATTTGTATTAAAATGCGTTTTGAAATCAGAAACTTAGCAAGCACGCAGAGTAGGGTTTTCTAACTTGTTTCAATCATAACTTCAAAAACATGTCTATGATTTCGTGCAACAGAGAACATATAAAGAAGCGAGCTACCTTTTTTTTTACAGTAATCTTACTCGATTACTTAAGACTAGAATACAATAAGCAAACAACTAAAATTAAAATACCCAACACATATTTTTTTTAATATAATTTACATATTAGTGTATCATACATTATACAATACGCACAGTACACGCCTACAGTTCTAGTTTTTTAATTCTATTAGTTAATATTTTTATAATTTCATGTTAAACAATCTATATGCAAGATATTTAATTATTGTTTTTGATTTTTATTGGTAATAGGTTTACTTGCTGCTGGAATAACACCAACTAAATCTGGTGGTGTTCATATTATGAATGGCTGGGCTCTATCTCAGATGTTATTATCGGGTAATGAAGCAAATCTTGTTGTCATTGTAAATTAATAAAAAAAATATGTTAATAATATTATTCTTATCATGTGTAGGTGGCGTATGGCCAATTGATGGACAGGCGAAGTTATTAAGATCAGTATCTGAGTTACTTCCTATGCGATTAGCGGGGAAGACGATGAATGACATAACATTGAAAGGTTGGACATTGGACCATCCATCCGTTATAATGGGTACCACAGCGACGTTTGGGCATGCTATATTATTATTATTAATTTTAATTGGCCTGAGTAAAATAAAAAAGGACATGTGGGTTATACATAAATAAGAGCTTTGAACTTAAACAAATATTTATTGTATTTGTTATTGAGATGTTCATAGTGATTGGCTGACGCCTGATAATAGTTACCGAGAAATACTAAAAGGTTATATAATATAATATAATACATTATACGTGTTCAATTATTTAAAAAATGTATGGTATTTTACGTTTTATATTAATTTGTATAGATAAGTTTCTGTAAAATACATGAGAAGATTGCGTTTGAAGAGAACATAATATTTGGTTCATATTATTTAATTAGCTGTTAATATATTAAATTGGTATTTAAATTTTGTTATTTGTAAATTATGTTATACATGTATAATGTATGTATAATCCATGCATGCTCATTTTTTCCCAATGACATATGTAAGAGTTGTTGTGGAAAATACTGCTGCCTTGAAATGAACACCATTGGTTTTCTCATTTTCATATATTAAAGAATCCGAATTCCCTGTTGGTACATACAATAGTGAATTGTGATAAATTTGTAATTTATGTTTTTTTTAAATGTTTTTTCGACATGCATTGATATTTTTGTTCATATAAATTAAATGAGATAATATTATATTCCTAAATAATAAAAAATTAAAATACTACATATTATAGCAAGCTGTATTAAATATTCAGCATATACTCAAAAATATTATATCTGTCTATTATATACTATGTTATAGTATATTGAAATTGAAATACAGACTAATATTATAACTTATAAGTAATAACTAATAACAAATAAACATACAGATAAAAACTAACTGCTATGCTTTAGTCATTAGTAAAATTTAAAAACATAAAAGGTTGAATTCTCAAATATCTATAAAACAAAATGTTCAGAAAAATATTAGCCAGGGTTGTATTCGAAACTATTTTGTTTATTATAATCTATAAATATATCCGATACTTATTAAGTATTACACTTAGGTAAGTACTATTTTATATGAAGGCACATATTTGTGTTTATAATTTTTCCCAACAAGCATTGTAATCTTATTACAATAATTTTTTACTAATCTGTTGTTATGCACCAACCGTGAAAATATATAACGAATGACACAAATCACTGTTCTGAGGACTGTTGTTATATTCCTCAAGAATAAAATGTTTATGTTTCTTTGTTGGTTTTTTTCCTATTTAATTATTTATTCATTTTCATCGAAAAAATAAACATATATTAGGATGAACCACTCCCCTCATTATTAAGTAGAAAATACAGTTAACACTGTGGGGTGAACATTCATTTGAATACGTCTCTGGTTTAGAGTATCAATGTTTTACTTATTTATTATTTAATGTTTAAAAGTGTAAATATGTCTAATTTATTAACAGAGCAAACATTAAATGAATACCTAACCAATTTCTTCGGTTATATAAAGCAACTTTATTTACTTCAGGAATATTATTATTGCAATTACTACGATCATATCGCAGGCTCCCGGATGAGTGACCACTCTGGTTCTTTGCGACAAATCCTTGCCCCTTATGTAAATAGAAGTTCAAACCGTACCGACCGTAACTCTCACTTCATAAGTAAATATGTATATATATTTATACTACCTTTTATGTTCCTAAACTACACCTAGTTTCACACCCGAAATATCAAATAAAATATGTAGGGAAGTCCAGTCCAAATTGGAGAAGTACATAGGTACAGTAAATACATCGGTACAAATTGGTATTTTAACATTTGAAATTACATTTTATATAAATTTAAAATTGTTTTTTTTTTTAAGTATAAAATAATATAATATTTAATATTAGTTGATATTATAAACCCAAAAATGTAGATAGCACAAATGTTGAGTTGTACAAAATCAAATTTCCGATTTTATGCCAAGCAGAGTCAATAATGGTTCAATGATTGTATTTTTTAGTTTTGATTTTTTTTCTAAAATGTCCAGAAAATTAAGCTAAAGTTAATATTATCACTAACATAATATATTTGAGTTGTTTGGACATAGTTCAGAAAAGCATTAACATCTAGTTGTGACGTATATTTTATTGATTGCAATTAGTACCGTTATTATTTTATTATTATTTAGTCTAGAATATTAGAGTAAATAAGTACAAATCGTAAGAAAAACGGGCGGGAAAATGGGCACCACTATGTTGTACAGAATGTCGCAGTAATGGATGTGTTAAATTTGAATTCAATGTAAACCATTGAGTGCGAAAATTGATTTTCAACTATGATGGTCTATCATCCTTTGTACCGAGGTAAGTATATTTTATGGTATTATTGCTATAAGAATGATTTAATTTACTATTAATAGGTAATTCAGTACGTTGAATAATTTTTCTTGTGTGCTTAAAACATAATATTACTTTTAAAATGTTTCAAGTACTTACGAATACTGATTACAACAAAATGGTTTAAATCGTTATTCTTTGTTTAATATCTAATTTTGTTCAAATATGTATCTGTGCGCATATCATTTTTATACCTTTTGGCTATAATATGGACTAGTTATGAGAAACCTTGTATTAAACTTTCAATCCACAGCTATAAAATTTATTTTTTGATTTAGTTACCCTGGGCGTTTGAAATAGACTGAGAATTTTCAATGTTGACCTTTCTAACTACGAAATAGATCCAATTTGATATTATACGCCATCCTCAAAGTTTAAAATTAACGCATTGTTCTATCTACTAATGGTGTAAGAAGTAAAATAAAAGAAACACACATGATACATCATTGAATCAAATGCATGCATCTCTCAGCTTAGAATCTAAAAATAATATGAGTTGCAATATGTAAGTACTTCGTATACTATCATGTGTTACTTACATGTCTTATATAATAATATAAATACTTGCAATTTTAATACAAGATGAAAAGTAATTCACATCATATTGTTTATTTATTATCACTTACGATGTGATTATTGTTCTAAATTTGTGAATTCAGCATTGTATTTTATAAAAAAAAATGTGTTTATGTCATCGCCATGTGTCAATAACAAATAACATAAATGTGATTAAATTCAAACAATAATAAATAGTAAATACTATTACCCAGTGGCCAGTAGAATGTAATAGTCTGACCTTAATGTTGTAAACAGGAACGCCGACGGATGTCTTAGACTATCGAGAGTGGTAAGTTAGTTGTCTTATGAACTCGAAGGCAACTTTTGCGAGATACGTCGACGGGCGATTGTTAAAATATTGTGCCATTACGCTGATTTATTAATTTGAAAATGTATACAGTCTTAAGAGGCTTAATGAATGCTTTTGTCAAAAACTACTGTTCATAATTTCAACGATAAGTATCGATTATTACCGATTTTTTTTCAGAAAAAATATTCGGATTCCCTATAATATTATATACAAGGGAACGATCGCGCCAAATTTTTAACTATTGTAATTTAGATTGCAATGAATGTTGTACATAATTTTTAAAAACTGACGAAATTTCAAACTTAAATATTTGATCAACTAACTAAAATCATACATATGTGCCTCGATTGATCGCTCGAACATATTGTTGAAAATTAAAATATATTTTCAAAATGCAAATTGATGCAATCGATATTGTTAGAATTTGAGTTGTCTGTTCGAGTGAAAAATAAATATTTTTTCTGGATCACAAGATTGTTTTTGGCATGTGCGCGTGAGTGCGTGCGAGATCTCTCCGTGCTACTACTATGCAGGTTTCTACTACTAACGATCATTTACGACTATTATAACGGCAATGCTAATTGCTGAATGAATAAGAAGTTGCCTATAACATTTTCCTTAGAATACACTAGTAATTAGGCCCCTTAACGAAAAAGTGTATTTTGTCGTCTTGAATTTCGTGAAAGAACAAATTATTTAAAAAAGTGGTCAGTAGAAATTCTTGATTTTAACAAAAGGACATTTAATTTATTAGTAATTACCTACTAGAATATAGCTATTGTAATAATTTTATATCAAACAAACAAAGACCTATCGCGTGTTGAGCGAAATTACTGACCATTAAAATGTATCAAGCGACCCGTATTAAGAAACGTGCACTGCTCTATCATGTTTAACTAAAAAGCACAATATGTCTACATTAATATTATTTCATTGTAAATAAACCGTAGCGTCTGAATGCCAAATTATATATTGCATGGATATTACATAGAGTCTCGACCTGAAAACTACCCGGGCCTGGTACTATTTACTAACTAAACATGACAATATTGATGGTCAACTATAGACTATAGTTAATTAATAATAAGTAATTATGATGATAGTTTTAGCCACATAACTATTATGAAGACCAGCTCCTCAAACAACATTTACTGTGTTCAGAAGCCATCGTTTATAATATGTTCCTTATAGCTTAAACACGGCGCCAATAAATAAGTAAACACACCATCGAAAAACCAATAACTTTACTTTCTGACTGCTATTATAAGCATTTAAAATAATAATTTGAACTCCAAGTATATACTTAAATTATAGTTACCCATGTGGAGCAGAGACTACGGCTAAATACGTTATTATCATTTCTCACAGAGTCTTGAGAGCAGATTGTTGTGTGTTGAGGACTGGACTGAGACAAAGTGCATGCTAATATAATGTAAGTTTTTTCCTTGCCACTAAAACCGAATAATTTTTTCTATATTTACTAAGCATATTGAATAATTCATAATACATAATTGTTAGTTATAAGCATAAGTTTACTCAGCACAATTATATATGTAGTGTTTGGTTATATATCGTTTATATTTTACTCAAGTCATCGATATCAGAATTTTGAATTCGGGATGCCAGGCTGATGGACCTCTAATATCACTGTTGTATTAAATTATGTGATCACTTAAGTATAAATTATATTTTTTTTAACCAAATAATTATAGGGAAAGACCAAGAGAGACTAGGTACATAATACAAAGTAGAATTTTAACATTTAAAATTACATTTGTAACAAATATATCATATTTTTTTTTAATGGATGATAGAAATATTAGTTAATATTATAAACACGAAATTCGAATTGAAGATAATAACCGGTAAGTACCTAATATTTTTGAGAAGTTGTAAAATCAAATTAAAATGTATATATTAAATTAGTCAAATGATAAATTAGAATATATTTTAATTCAAATTTAAGACTTTGCACACAACAGAGTTATTAATGGTTTTATGGTTGTATTTAAATGTAAATTGTTGGGTTTTTTTTTTAAATTTTAAATACTAGAAAATTGTGAAGTATAGTTAATATTTTGAAGAAAATAGTAAACATGGACTTTTGACGTTTATTTGACTGATTATAATTACTATTATTATTTTATTATTACTTAGACTACACTATTAGTACATAATTAAGAATATTAGGAAATAAAAATTAATATGAGTTATTTTCCTGTATACTAATATGTATAATATTATTATAAGTTGCTTACATATAACTACATGTCTTAAATTTTTTTAACAATTTTTTACAATTGCAATTTTATTTTTCATTTATTTTATGATCATTTCGATTGACACAAAAAAAAATTAAAGATAATACAATGTTCTCAGTTCTACAGTAGGGAGTTGTTTCACTGTCTTTCAAGTTTTAAACAATAGATTTAAATTAACTCACATAATATTGCTTATTTACATAATGATACCTAAATTATCAGTGATAACTGTTATAAATTTCAAAAATCAGTTTTTCATAACACAAAATGTGGTTATACTATGTGACAGTAATAATTCTTTTAGTTACTACATTATTTATAATACAACTATACATTTTATAAACACGAATTACTACACAATAGTCTGGCTTTATTAAAAAAAAAAATACTTAGTAGAAATCCAGATTTAAAAGGACTTCTCATTTGTTAGTACTCTCTAGTCAGTCGTCACTAGTAGTTATATTAAGTTATCGTAAAAGTTGCTTAATAATTAAAATAATATTCTTAAATCTCAACATTTTTTGAAGAACCTTTTCAATTCTGAATGATTTATAATTTATATTGCTCACTGCGACACTGATCCAGTATATAGTTAATAACAAATAAAATAACATTTTTAGGCAAACCAATTCAAAAAATATGCATATAATACAGTAAAATACAATTGTTTAGCTTACTATGTATTACTATTTCAATTTCCAAATTTCCAATACCGTCGTATTTTTGATATTAGCCAAAAAATGTATGTGTAAATTGTTAATTCAAATTAATATTATAGTATTAAAAAGGATTATCGCATTTATATAATACTTAATTAATTTTGATCCACGTGTGTCTATTTTTATTTATTAAATTGTAACTCGTGCTTTTATCACAGAACTTATATTTGTTTTCAAATATTTATCGAAATAGTAATAAATTGTGTGACAATGGTGGCCTCTGGAAAGTGAGCTGTTACAGTTGCAGGTAAAGTTTATTGCACAACCCACCTAGCAGCTAATATTTGTTATTGTTATATTAAACAAAACGTATCTATATGTTCTTGTATATTAATCTAATTTGTACAGTAACTTTTCCATAATTCCATCACCCACTAGCTACGTAGCGGGATTTCTACTATCCCACCAGTAGGGAGTTCAAGGATAGGAAATGAGTTATTTCAGGGGTCGCTCCAGAGAAATGGTTGGGGGAGGCTAAGTCATAATTTTCAGAAAATTTTCGATATTGTAAAGGTTTTATAGAATTTTTGTTTTTAACAGTATACAATTTTTACAAATATGGACTTGAGAGGGGGGCACGGCCTTTGGAGGCACCCCTGAGTTGTTTCAGACTAGAAATTAAAATTTACAGCATACGAACCACAGGTGACTGCTGTAATTCGCCCAAGACTGAAATACTACCTACACATACTATTTTCTATATCTGCCCCCTACAAAAACGGCTTTATCGATTTGATTGTATGGTAATTCATAATGATACTATTCTTGCTGTTTTTGGTATCTAAATGCACCAAAATATTTCATATACAACAGCATGGGTGTAACCTACCATTTGGTATTTTATATAATAGATAATACGTATCGATATATGTTCATGACTTTATGTATATTAATCTGATTTGCAAAGTAACATTTGCATTCTAACGTTACTGTCCGATGGGTGAGAAAAGGTCCAAAAATTAACCTCTCTGCAGTGCAAGAAAGACAAAATAAAATCGTTATATTATATACTTTTGCAGAAACCGTTTTCGAAACTGATCGTCTTCATAATGACGACGACGGGGGCGACTACATTTGCACCGGCATCAGAAGACCTAACCATCGTAGATAATAAGCTGTTTAAGGCTATATGTTTACATCAAATACTTGATCCGACCAAAGGTCGTAACCGATATTACAGGTCAGCGCTCCTGGCGGTCATGTGGTTGTCGTTGAGCATGCAGATAACGCAGTTGGTCGGCCTTTACTTTGCGGTCAACGACCTGCAGCGGTTCGCGTTCACTACCACGACGGTGACTAACGCCTTTCAGTGCCTGTCCAAAGGATACATAATAATGACGCACGCGGACAGGCTGAGGGCCAGCCTGGAGACGGCTCGCTATGATTTCACGTCGTGCGGCGCCCGAGACCAGCGCATAGTGCGCCGGTCACGGAACGTGTTGTCCACGGTTCTCCGCACGTTTATCGTGCTCAGTTGGGTCACGTGTTTCATCTGGGCTTTGACGCCACTGTTCGGGATGGACGAATACCTTCAAGTGACTAATGCCGACGGTACCTTCACCCGTTACCGGGTTACCATCTACAACGTGTGGTTACCGGTGCCGGCAACCGTGTACAACGCGACGGCCGTCTGGGCGCTCGTCTACTCAGCCGAGGTGATAGTGTGTTTCGTCAACGTGTTTAGTTGGTTGCTGTTTGACAGCTACGTGGTGACAATGTGTTTCACGTTCAACGCCCAGTTTCGCACTGTGTCGGCCAGTTGTGCGACCATCGGCCACGGCGATTGCTCCGGATCGCCGTCACCGCACGCCACGGGTTCGTATCTGGTTTTACATCGAATCATCATAGTTTGTATTCATTTAGGGATGGATTACTCACTTTAAGAAATACAAACTTTTGAAAATCGAGAAAAATGTTATTACAATTATTTAAAGATCTACAACAGTTCGATTAGGTACTCAAAGCGTACGATGAGGCAGATTATTTTTTTTATATTATTCTTGTATAGACAATGTTGTGTTTACAATATTATTATTATACATTTATTTTTTTTAAATTTTAAATGGCTGGCAAAGTCAGTTTAAGTCCATTATTATTTATTAATTGAAAAGTTGTAGCTAAATTTATTTTATTTTTATTACATTTTTATTACATTTTTTGACTTATTAGATACACTTGAAAGGTACTAATACTGCAGAGTGGATTTCCCGGATTTTAAACGTATCCTTATCTAGTTGAACTTAATAAGTAAATACTTTTGAAGTAAATTCTCTTTTGAATATAAGTGTGGGAAGTTGCCCTAACCACCACAAAAGATTACTTTTAAAGTATTTTTAAGTTGTAACATTCTTTTTTGATTTGTTACTATATTATTCGTAACCATTTTTTAAATATTTATGTACTCACCATTTTTGACTAATCATTACTTTCCCAGTTAAATGTTAAACAATTTTAAATTCATCGAGCTCAATTCTTTATCATTTGAGTCGCAATTTTTAGTTTTTTAGTTTTTAGCGATGACCCATTATATTTCAAAAGAAATGTTCACTGTAAAAACAAACCAAATGATATTTTTACATTGAGCAAACCACTAATTTAATATTGGCCATTACTAGTAAATGCTGAAATAACAAAACTAAAAATTTTGTTAAGTGCAGTTAAGTACGAAAGATGTATGATGATTAATAAATTACACATAATTTTGAGCGGTTTAATTGCGTATCTATATTTTTGGAGGAGTTATATATGTATGTTATGTACCATTAGCAAATCGGAAATCTAAAGAGCATAATAATTAATACGGCCAATTATTGTAAACAATAAGGAATGCTCTTCTTCACAAAAAAAAATGACTAAATATTGAAGTGATAGTGTTACATTCACTGTCATACATTCTTACTGAAAATACATTACCATATAATACTCGTAATTATAATTGTGGACTGTGGTGGATCATTAAATTAACTGTTTTATTAACTTTGAATTTTAAAAGTTAAAACTATTTGCTGACGTATAATGTTGTAAATTGGTTCGTGAATAGATTTATAATTGACTAAATATTTAATAAAATACCTTGAATTCGGTAAAAATTATTTCTTGGCTGATATATTTTTATTGTTTGCAATTTTAAATTTGTGTCTATCATCTCTATAATGTTCAGAGCTACAGTATCATCGAATAATGTATTTCCAAATGTATGCAGACAACAATAAGTTGTTCTAGGTGATTTAATAGAGATGGGAGAAAGGACAAAGGAGAGCTGATCAATATTGATCAAAACAATGTTAGGATGGAGTTAAGAATATTAAAAATGTCGTTAAAGATGGTTATAAATTTATATAAATTTACTAAAATTTTCACAGTACCTACTATAAAAACGAAGTTTTGCAACAAGCCACAAAGTATTGTTCAGTGTTCTATACATTATTTATTGATAACTGTTCTAGGTACTCATAACATCATACGTGATGATAATAATATATTAAACTGTTATGACGAACTAATCAACCACATAAAGGATAACCAAAGTATAATAAAGTGAGTACAAATGTAAAATAATGTATTATCCAAATTTAGCACGAGTACGATTTATTATAATTTAATGAAAAATGTTATGCTTAAAATGTAGCGGATCACATATGTGTGACACCGTTACAATGTACATTTACCTAAAATAGACATTGCTTTAAAATACATTTTACTATGGCACATAGAGCACTAAATGGTGGTTTTGAATTAACATTTAGCGAATGTATTATTCTTATCATAAGAAGTAAGAACTATGACTAATATCTTTTTTTTTTCAACCGTATATATAATATAGGAAATGTGATGATTTTTTTGAAATTATTAAACCTGCAATTTTATTCCAAATAATCGGTGGTTCGTATTCCGTAATAACATTAATATTTCTCACTTTACTGGTAAGCATTTAATTTTTTACCGTAATTATATGTTTCATTAACAAATTTTAAAATCTAATTTTCATTTTTATCTTTATCAAGACGTATCTTATGGGTTTTTCAATTATATCCATACCAGTTTTAAAAGTATTTTTTGGTTTTTTATCGGTGACTTTTGAACTATTTATGTATTGTTACGTATTCAACCACATAGAAACAGAGGTAAACAAACAAAAAAAAATTATAGAAACTAGATACTCACAACTCATTTTGTTTCAAATATCTGATTGACATGTTGACAATTTCTATTGACAGAAATGTAAGATGAATTTTGGAATGTATAGTTGTAATTGGACTGCGATGGATTTAAAATTTAAAAAGACATTGTTGTTTGCCATGAACAATAATTCAGCTCACAGACGAGTGATGAAAGTGACTCCAAAGTCTATCATTAATCTAGAAATGTTCTCAAATGTAAGCATTTATATTAGCTGATTACTATTATTTTAATAAATTGCCATTTATATGTATTTTATACAAAGTAAAATAACATTTTCTCATTATTTATGTTTATTTTATTGTACCCACAGATAATCATGAACATTCTGTTACAATTTAAAAATGATATTAAATCACAAACTGATGATTTTTCAGGTGATGAACATGTCATACTCAATAGTGTCTGTACTATTAAATTCAAGAGTCCAAAAATGAAATTAACTAATTTATGGATTCAATTAATGACAGCGAGTAAAATATTAGATAATATAAGTTCAATCACATTGTATGTTTAAAATTTGAACATTAAATTATTTATATACTTAGTGCCTACTGTAATCGAGGGTGTCTGAGCTGGAGCGTTTTTAATAAAAAAATCACTCACATTCTATAAAATATATACCTAGTTGAATTTTCTTATTTTTTAATTTTTTTTATAGAAACGACATTTTGCAGGTATGATTAAAGGTAGATTTTCAAAATTATTATTATAAAAGCTAAAATATGCATATTTTAATAATGCAAAATATGCATATTTTAATAATGCAAAATATTTGATATTTTTCTAATAAGTACTCAAAAGTAAAATGAAAATTCAAACTTCTATCCGATCAGCAAAAGTTTTTAACTATATAATAAAAAAAAATTATCAAAATTTCCTATGAAGTCATTTTTGTTGATATATGCACCATATCAAACCCCTGATATTTTTTTAAAATAAAAAATTGGCTTGACATACAATTATATGAACTACGATTACAGAAAACAATGTAATACATAATATTTACAGAAATTATCATACTATTTGAATCACGAGAAATCGTCACATTTGACCTTTACTCTAAGGCGATGAGACGGTGCTCACCGTTGGCGAGTTGGCGTCCCGTAAAAATTTAGTCTTTTGTGTAGATTATGGAATAAGCTGCAACTTAAGTTTATTTCTATCGAAATCATGTATGACAAATATAGGGAACGGAAATTGCATGCCCGATAATCTGACACAGTCGGCGGGCGAGGTCCTCGTTGACAGTTAGGGAATGGTTATTTTTTACAGTTCGGGGTGGGGCACGTAACACTGTCAGGTCCGCTTAAACAAGTGACGTTTGGTAACAGGGTCCAACCGGGTGCTTGACCCAAGCACTGCAGGGAAGAACTAAGTTTTGTAAGCCCCGAAAAGAGCTATTTTATGGTTTCCCGTTGTCACTGTACGGAGGGAATATGATCGGCGTCGCTGAGGTCGTGGTGACCTTTGATGTTCGCAACTAAGATGTTTCACAGCCGACACGCCTGATGCACCACGGGCTCCTCGACTCCAAACGACTGGCACAATCGGGGACACGTTGAGGGCGTTCGTCGGACGTCTGGATAGATCGTAGCCGATAGCCGATTAACCCTGAGAAGTGTTCGTCGAGCTAGTTGCCGCCAGTCGGTGAGGTAGGCAACCCGTATAAAAAATATGTTGTCAGTAAAGGCAGCGTGTCGACGGCTGGTTATTCGTCTGCGGTACTGACATGGTCGACGACGGCACTGGATTCGACTCGCTTCTGAAGTTCATCTTCGCGGTTCGTTATGGCGTTCTTCGTTTTGTCGGAACTTGAATGCCGGATCGCTGCTGGTCGGTTTCTTCGGCTTCGTTTTCTTCTGAGCTGTATACCTGTTTGACGATATGATCTATCTTCTGATCGGCCGGTCGATGTCGCGTTTGACACGGCATTTGTGCATGCTTCTTTGGGGCGTGTGGATCAAACGGTGTGGTTTTCAATTGCCATAATGAAATATTTTGGTTTACTCGTTTGTTGGTACCTACTCGTTTGTTGGCTTTAAGAAAAGCCGTTTTATTGTGGTTTGCTCCTTTACAACGAGGAATAATACCACCTACGACCTTAGGAAACCATAACATCCCAAAATCGACCAGCTCTAGCTACTTAGACTTAATACTAGACCATCGTCTAACCCGGGAAGACTACATAAAAAGTAAACGAATACTTTTAAAGCCTAGACGAAAATCCCTCTCTTAGTTCGTACTTACTCGGTAAACATTCCAACCACAACATAAAAACTAAGCTACTCTTACACAAAACTCTATTGATGACTATTTGGACACGTGGAATCCAACTATGGGGGCAGCCAAAAAATCAAATAAACACAAAATTCAAACCTTCCAATCCATGATTCTTCGCATAATTACACACGCTCCATTCTATATTTCAAATCATACACTTCATACCAACTTTTAAGAAATAATACTGAAACTAAAACAATTCTATACAAACGCTTCTGCTCACTTTTAAACCTGCAACCACCCCAATCCTTTAATATCAGCACTAAATTCTGACAATCCACCTCTTAGGCTAAAGTGAAGATTTCAAGCGCCGTAATCTAAACCGCTATTAAAAATTCAGTAAAATTAAACAAATTTCTTTATAAAGTGTCACTATTGTGTGGCTTCTTTTATCACAAGTCTTGTATCAAAAAAAAAAAGAAAAGTAATACAGGCTTGTTATAAATTAATTATAATAGATTGTTAATCACACTATATTAATATAAAATGTATACATTTATATAGAAATTATTATTATCTATGAATATTTAAATTGATAAAACTATTTATTTTTTATGGCATAACTTAATATAACTTAATTAGATGTATAGATATAGTGTAAAAAAACAAAATATACTTATTTTAAATTAGTGTATAACATTTTTTTGTTAATGATAAAAATTAAAAAGTACTTGACAAGAAAATTTATTGACAGATTGTTTTTGAATTTTTATATGCTATCTTTTGATGAAATATTTTTGACCAAACATCCTAAATCTTTTTCATAGACTTTATATAAGTATTTAAAATTATCTTAAACATTTTTAAAATGTTTTATATTTGAATTTAAATAGTTATTTGAAAATATAATATATAAAACACTTTACTTTCAAAAAAATACATTAAAAAAACTTTTTTAAACAATTCTGTTGATGGCATGCTTGTATAAGAAGGTTAGTAATTATATATATGAATAAGTCTTATTGTAATAAATTAATTGTTTCGTGATTAATGATTAGTAGTAATCTACAAAACTAACGCAGCATTCGTACAGTATTAGCAAAATCCTGATAATGAGTTGCCTATACAATACTCCTTAAAAACAAGTCCGCGATCGTTTAAGATTTTTTAGTTTGAATATACTTACAGGTAATTTATATTAATTTATATATTCTATATATATTTTTTATATATAGTTATTTTAGTATTTGTTTATTATACTTAATAAGTCTTAAAATAATGGCTTGTTATATTAAAACAATTTATTATATTTAATTGTATTTATTTATTGTCTTATTGTATGCTCAATTATTATTACCCCTGTATTAATTTTAGGCTTACATTTTAAAATTATTATATCTGACTGCTTGATCCAGAGCGATCATGAATTTTCAATGATGTGTTTTTGGTTTTGTGTGTCTGTCAACCCGTCATCAGTCATCAGCGTGGAGATGGAGATTTGATTCAAAATAGAGTAAACAACGAAGGTAATTTTAGAGAGCTTTTGAAATTTCTTATAAATTCGGGTGATGATATTTTGAAAAACCATCTTCAAAATTGTCCAAAAAATGCCAGTTGTATTAGTAAAACTTTACAGAACGATTTGCTAGATTGTTGTGCTAATGTAATTCTCGGAAAAATTTTAAATGCCATTAAAGAATCAAAATATTTCTCAATACCTGTTGATGAAACAACCGATATAAGTACAAGTGAACAATTAATTTTGTGCATTCGCTATGTTTTTCATAATAAAGTGCAAGATGATTTTTTAAAATTAGTTGTTGTTGAAAATACATCTGGTTATAATCTTTCCAAAGTAATACTACACCAATTAGATGAGTTAGGTCTTAATATAAAATATTTGTGTAGTCAAGGCTATGACGGAGGGGCTAATATGTCCGGAAAATATCAAGGCGTACTACCTCAAATACTAAAAATTCAACATCTTGCTTTGTGTACCCATTTTGCTACTCATTGTTTAAATTTAAGTATATCAAAAGCTTGTTCTTTATTTTTGATCCGGAACGTTGTTGGTAACATACAAGAGATTATAACTTTTTTCCGCTCGTCACCAAAACGATTGTTACTTCTAAAGACTAAATTGATGAAAGTGTTACCAAATTCCAAATCATGTAGACTTCAATCTGTATGTGAAACACGCTGGATCGAACGACACGGTGCAATTCTTCAATTTATTGAATTATACGATATTATTATAAATTGCTTGGATGAACTTGTAAATTCAAATGAGGAAACTACTCTCATTATTAGTAAAGCTAATAATTTACTAAATAGTATGTTGAAATTTGAATTTTTAATCACACTTCAAGTTTTGACAGAATTACTTTCAATTACTTTGCCTCTTTCTAAGCCACTGCAAAACCAAAATTTGGAATATTTTCAATCATTAAAACTATTGTAGAAGAGTTTGAAAATAAAAGAAAGAACGATATTCAAAGTTTTAATTTGATTTATACCAAATCATTGACATTAGTCGATTAGCATGAGATGGAAGTTAAAAAACCCCTAACGTGTTCAAGACAAATTCATCGAGAAAATATATTGATTATTTTCGTTTGACCTTATACTTACCATTTTTGGATTATTTAATATGAGATATTAAAAATAGATTTGTAGGACGCGGTCATGAAACAATTATGTATTTACAAATTTAATACCATTTTTTTAAAGTGAAGATTCAGATATCGAAAAAATGTGTGTGTGTGTGTGTGTGTGTGTGTGTGTGTGTGTGTGTGTGTGTGTGTGTGTGTGTGTGCGTATAAGTATCAAAAAAATATCATGAATTATAATATACTTAGTAATAATATAGATTGAGCATCTTCCTTTTGGATCAATTCACTTATTAGTTAGACGCAGGAAAAACATAAAATATTAGTCATAATAACCAAAAAATGTCAGTTATTGCTCATGTATAATAAAACTGTATAAAACTGTTTATGAAACACATTTATAACTGTTTGATACAAAAAAAAAAAACTCATGATAAAATAAATGTTACAATTAAAAGAACTTAGTAGTGAATCAAAAAACTGTATCTATCAAATCATCTATCTTACGACGGGGACTTGTTTATATTTAATCATTGAATTGATGCATAAAATGCATAGTTTAAATATTTAGTGTATATTTATAAACTTTTAGGAAATGTTTAATATTAAGCTAGATACACTTGACCACGTAGGTTATTGGTAAATAGGGAGTGTTATAAAAGCCATTTAAAGGTATAAGACGCTTCATTGGTTTTTCGATCATTAAAAATATAAGTTTTTTCATTTATATGATATTACACTAAAATTGTTTTCTTAATAACA